CGTGGCATTGGTGATCCCGATGCAGTGGTGCGCTCCTCCTCAGAGAAGGTTCCCATTGCAAAGGACAGGGAACCAGGCTTCTCTTCAGAGAAGGAAGGTGTACCATCCAGTGCCGCGGAAAAGCCCGTGCCGCCAAAGTTTCGGTATACTTCCAAGGGTTTTGATCCATTTTGGAAAGGACACAAGTCGAAACCATCTGAGCCTCCACAGGATTTAAAAGGTGATGATCCTGAGGGTTATACTCCTTCAGAACCACCTGAGAGGCCAGAAGGTGAACTTGTAGAAATTCCTAAAGCATCAAAAGGACCATCAAGTGATAAACATGAACCACTTGAACCAGGTGATGGCGCTCTTGAGCTTAGGCGGATTTCAATCCCATTACCTGGTAGTGAAGTTGTTGCAATGACACCGGCATATAGGAAGATGTTGCAGAGACTGGAGGACAAGGTAGAGCTTTATAAGCTTCATGTGAAGCACTACCATATGAGTCCTACTCAGTTTCGTAGACGTGTTTCTATGTTGAAGCTTCCTGACTCTGTTTTAGAGAAGTATGAATCAGTTGTCAGGAACTGCCGTGTTTGTAACACTTCAGTGGCACCTCCGCCACGAGCCAGAGTCTCCGGTATTAGAGCTTCATGTTTTGGTGATGTTGTTTTTGCTGATCATTGTGAGGTTGAACTTCACAAGAACAAGTATATCATTCTACTTGTTCTTGATGGTGCCACAAATCTTCTCTGGGCTACGGCGCAGAAAGACCTCATAGATCAAACCACCATCCAAGCATTGAGGCAGTGGTCTGATGAGAACAATTGTGTTCCGAAGGCCATGGTAGGAGACGAAGCCTTTTTCACAGATGCTTTTGTTGAATACTACAGGTTTCATGGTATACAACAATGTCCTTGTGGGCCAAGAACTCCTTGGCCGAACAGAGCAGAGACAGCTGTACGTTTGTTCAAACGTATGTGGCATGTTATGAAAGTAGATCTGGATGACCCACGTTTTCGTGGTGTAACGGTCAGAGAAGTGGTCAAGAAGGTAGTTTGGGCAAGAAATTGTCAGTTGACTATCAGTGGATATTCCCCAATAGAGATAGCAACTGGAAGACGTCCACCAGATCTTTTTGACCTTGAGACCGCAAGCCCTGAGCAATTGTCAGCAAGTGTAGCCGCACAAGATCGTACAAATCTGGAACTACAACGTGTAGCTTTGAGAGCTCATCAAGAAGCACGACAAGCTCAGGACCTTCGAGCAGATCTTGCAAGAAGGACTATGCCAAGTGACGGTCCCTATTTCCAAGGTGAGAAGGTTTTTATTTGGACTCAGGATTCATCAAAGTTCAAGGATAAAGGACGTTGGGTTCGTGCCACAGTACTTGGACAAGAAGGAGCTATGGTCCAAGCCAACACTGGTAAGGCAGTGGTACGTGTGAATCAGTCAAAGGTTAGACGAGATCACGATGAGTGGCATGATGTTTCCATACCGGCATTAGACGATGAGAATCCGGAGAACTTACGGGAAGATCACGAACTGTATGTTGATGCCGAATTTGGAGAACAGTCCTTTTTCTTCTGTAATGATGATCATCCTGATGTTGTTGAGTTACTTCATGGAAACAGTGGATTATCTTGGTTCCTTTCAAAGAATGGTGTTAGAGTTGCATCTCCTATGGACTTCAGGATACAACTTTTCCACTCTGAAGGGTCAAGATGGTATTTGGCAGCAACTTGAGAGGTTGCAGCCCCACTGTGTAGTGATCAACAACCCTTCTCCCAAACAAAACAGAGCTTCTATTTGGTTGCTATGTTGCAATGTGATTGAGTGGCAGTTGAGAAGGAAGAAACATGTGTTTGTGACTGTTCCCAAAGGAAACAAGTTTTGTCTGTTTTTGCAGAAGTTCATTTCTTCTTTGAAGAATCCGGTTTTTAACTTTGATGTGGATATGAATTGCTTCTGCTATTGTCCGAAGGGAATGAGTTACGTGACAGTCTTCCACTCCTATGCATCCTGCCAAGGATGGAAAGGTATTGGTGACTGTTCCTTCCAAGCTAAAACAGTGCAAGCCACCAGAAGCAACCAGCACTTTAAGGATGCTGACTGGAAGAAGTTTCCATCCTCATTTTTGGTTGAGATGAATCGTTTCCTTCCTAATAGTGAGACTTCCGATAAACGTCAGAGTTTCCTTATTGAAGATCTTCTGGAGAATTTTGACTCTGGAAGTTTGTGTGGAACAGCTCTTTTGTTAGAAAGAGAAGCTCATCAGTCAATTTTATTGAATTCCGTAAGAACGGAAGAGACGACGGAAATTCCGGTTTCACTTCGACACATACTACCACAAAGGTTTACTACAACTGAATTGATCAGAACTTTGAGGCAGGTCGATGCACTACCTCAGAGATCAGAGTTTGATGTGACAACATCCTCTGATTCTCGAATTGTGTCATTGATTCCAGGCCTGAAGGAGATTAGACGAAGAACCTTGCCACAGATGTATTTTGAGAGATGTAAGGTTTATCGTGGTACTTTTGGTAGAGTGCATCCTCTCTTCAATTCTGAAGATGATGCAGTGTTGATTATGTGGA